AGGGGAGGCCGCCTGTGGATCGACAGACTACCGTACAGCCCTCAGCAGCAGCAGCAACTACAACATGCACAGCATCAGGGAGGAGGCAAGCGGGCGCCTCGCCCGTGGGTAAACGGATCAGATACCTTAGGAGCTTCCTCTGGGGGTTCATTTAACCCGTTTGAGTACCAAGGGGAAGTCGAGGGGGCCGTTGGGGGCCCAGCAGAAGGGGCATCATCTTTCGGGGCCCCTCAGGAGGCTTTCGGGGCCCCTGGGGACACAGCGGAGGGCACTTGGGAGTGCGAAAGGGAAGACAGCGACTTCGAGCCTCCATTTGCTTCTGCGTCTGGGGCTGTGGACCCTGCCAATTGCGGCGGTAAGTGCATGCATGCAGGTTCATGCATGTCGGGGTCGATATATGTACAGTGATGGGTTTGAAGACCAGTGAATGGCTCCGTTTGTTTCGTTTGCATCTGCTCGCAACTAGTCTGCACTTGTCGTGTCATTCGCTCCGTATTCGGCTGCTTGGCTCTTTGCGCCTGCCGATTTGCTGCTGCTGTTTTGTGTGGAGTAGAGATACGGGATTCAAGTGTGTGCAGCAGCCGCTGTTGATGCCTGCATCCATGACAGTGGTCTCCTGAAGAGACCGTTATGCGCGGGTGGAGAATTTACACTTTATGGGGATGCTGGTGTTGTTGTTTTTAGGGTTTCATCTATTTTCAATCCACATGTATCTGCAGCAGCAGCAGCAGCAGCAGCTGTGTTTTGAGGGCCCGTCAGCTGCAGCGGACTGGGCGGGCTCTGAGGTTGAGTGGCAGCTGCTAGAACAACAATCGGGGGCAACAGCAGCGGAGCGGCAGCAGCAGCAGCAGGAGCTGCGAGCAGCAGCTGAAGCAGCAAGAGATAAACGCAACCGCCTCAGCCCCTCACACGAAGAAGCAACAGAAATGGCGGCAGCTTTCTCAGAGTGGATGCAGGTATTGCAGTGCCACTGTCTATACATTACAATTGTTAAGTTTCTGTTTGCCATCTCTTTTGCCTTTTTACTGCCGCGTTGTCCCCCCTCTCTACCCTTTTCACCCATTGTAGATAACCATGGTGCGGCTCTCTAGTGTCATTGCTGTTCTGTTGTCGCTAATCTGTTATTTTCGCATTGGTGTTCGCCTTCGTGCTCGACTGCTTGACTGACCTGCGTCTGCCGACATTCCCGTTCCGCGGACCACTTCCTTTCGTTTGCGTCTCTGCCGTCTTCGTATCTGTCCCTCTTTATTTCTGGTCCAGCTTTTTTGCCTTACGTCTCATGCATGCCTGTTTCTCAGCCGGCTGCATTAGTGGCTGGAGCAGTGGCTGCAGCAGTTCAGCAGACAGAACAGTAATATATTTGTAAGTGGGTGAATACAAACTGTGACATTCCTGCAAATAGTTACAATCCGAAACATGCTCGACTCGTCTTTGCTCTGTTGTCTGTATCTGCAGGTGATCACAGACCAGGGTCAGCCAGGGGCTGAAGCAGCCGCAGTAGCGGTGCCTCCAGCAGATGAAGCTGCTGCTGGTGCAGGAGACAACAGCACCAAGTCAGACGCAGCAGCAGGAGACGGATTTCTCTCCACAGGGTCACGAGAGATTCAACAGCAGCAGCAGGCAGTCTGCGCTGCACCCATCACCCAGCGTGGGGGTGCGCCGCAGTGGTAGGGGGTTGCCCACATGCATGGGCTCCCCTAAGGAACACCTTTTGGTAGACTGGGCAACCTGTTTAGTACCTCGTGACCTCTTGTCGCTACGCATTGCTGCTGCTCCATCCTGCGAGCGAGTTCAGGGTTACAAATATATAAATCTCGTTCTGAAATTACAGCGTCAAGCAGACAGTCGTGGTCCTCATGAGGGAGGGCCTCCGTGGTTAACTCTTGGCAGTTAAAAGACAAACCACAAACAAGAGGACCCTTCCAGCCTCCTGCTGTTGCTGTTGCGTCACTTGCGGTTACTGCCGACTCATCCTGTACTCCCGCAGCTGCACCTGCTGCAGAAAGAGAGCCTGTTGATTGAAGTCTGCTGAGCAGCTCACCAGGCGTTGCTGCAGCAGTAGGCATGCGCCCATTTTCAGCAGGAGCTGTAGAAGCAGCAGCAGCTCTAATTGCAGCGATAGTAGCATCGTAGTAACCACCTCCATAGCCCAGCCGGACCCCCAGCCGGCTCCAAGCCACGAGGGGTAGCAGCAGCAGATGTGGGGAGGCAGATAAATGGGGGCGAGAGGCAGAGGGGACTGGAATGCCGAACTGCACAGACAAAATTTACGCCCGTCCGCGAGCCCTCAGCCCTTGCAAACCCTAAACTATAAGTCTCAATGCAAATCAACATTCGGGAAAAGTGCACGGACAGAAGTGGGGCATCATGCCTTCCAGAACCGTCAGTCTCGTTGCAAGCCCTAAGACCCTGCCGCAAGCTCTAGATCGAAGCCGCAAGTCGTGCTGCAAATACTAGGCGTGTAGCTTGACAGCACAAAAACTGAACTCCTAAACCTTGTCACAAACCCGTAAACCACACTGTTAACACCTAAGAGGGACTGGCACTCTCTCCAAGCCGGAGACCCCTGTTTGCAGCTCTGGTCCGTGAGCCCCCATTCTAGACCTATATGCGGGAACTAAAGCTCTAATCTCTCATTCACATGCCCCCCTATTTCTGATGACCCCAGTGCCAACGCTCTTTCCTGCCTCGAAAGCCTCGAGATCAGGCCCTACTGCAGCCTTACTCTTCCTGGCTTCAGCGTTTCTCCTGGTTCGTATAGCCTGAACTGCATGCGGAGGCCGTGAGGCATACAGACAGGCAAGTACACAGCAGCTCCTAACAGAGATAAATACCTTAGTAGCGGCAGGCAGCAATATTCACTACCGATGCTGCTGTAACCTGCGACCACCAATGGACCAGCAGGAGCAGTCCCTGCTGCTGTTTTTGCTGCTGGGCCTGCTGCTACCGCTGCTTCTGGGAATGAGGCAGACGCAGTGTATGCTGCAGACAGACACAAGCATACAGAACATTTCGCGTTGCTGGACGAGTGCATGCCCGCGCCACAGTGAATCTTGCTGTTGCCGTTGCCTCGTTGTCATTCCGGTCTTCTTGCCACTGTTGCTTTCCCTTGTTCTGCAGTGTATGTACACCTGGTGCGGGATCCTGGGGATCCGTCATCTTCCCTGGGAAGCAGCAGCGGAGCAGCGCCAGCAGCTGTCCCTTCTGTCGTTCCAAGTGTTGCATGGCCACCGCCTCAGCCACTGCGTGCTGCTGTGACTGCAGTTTACTCTGGTGAAGTTGGAGCTGCAGCAAGTGATCGGCGCGAACTTGTAGCATTTTGGCGCGTAAGAGGGCCTTCGCCTCCCCTACCTGACGGCGCATGCTCATCGTGCTGCTGTTGACGCTGGCTCTGCTGCTGTCCCTGCTAGAACTGCTGCTGTTGCTGCTGCCTTCACTGCTGATGAGCCGTTTTTAGTGACGTTGCCGCTGGGGGCTACTGTCAATGTTCGGGTTACTGCGGTTGCCCTGTACTGCTGCTCTTCGCCGATGAAGAGGCCCCCTTGTCGCCTCCAGTCGGCAAATTGAGCACATATCTTCAGTTGACTTGGGCTTCAAGCTCCAGCTTTCAGGCGTTGGCTCAGAATTTACTGCTTACCCAGGTCCGAGCGGCAATTTCGCTCGCCTCGCAGATGAATGGGAATGGGATGTTAGAGTTAGCACTTACAATTAAGAGCTTAGTCTTCAGCAGAAGCGCTTACAGTTCGGAAACTAATGCCAAATACTTTCGCTGAAGCCTTAGGGGCATACGCTGCAGTTTTGATGGGCCCTGTCGCCCGGAGCACTCAGCGAAGACTGGGGACCTAGAGAAAGGCAACCCTAAAGGATCAAAAGTTCCTTAAACAAAAATTAAAATTACGGTATAAAGTTTATTCATGAGGAACATTTTTTGCGGGTTAGCGCCAGAGGAAGGGCAGTCTTTGTGTTGAGCAGCTCGTGGCTGTCTGCTGCTTATGATTTGAGCATCTGGTGTTTATGCCTGTCTGCAGCGCTCGAAACTGCATGAACAAAACCAAGTGCAAAATGCAGGAACCAAATTAACATATTTTCAGCGGGCTGATTGCCACATTATGGCATCAATGTAAGTTGTATAAGAAACTCTATGACTTCGAAAACGCGGACCCGACGCTCTACATCCTGTTCAGCAATCCCAAGTCTCTGCAGCTACCTGCCTTCCGTGTGGGGCTCACATTAACCTCCAACTGCCGAATGACCCAGCTCATCGGGGCTTAAGAGCTGCAACAAGATTGCTGCGCCCGTTGCTGCAGTTGCAGCTGCTGAAGGATGTGTACCAAAGCAACACAGCAACAACGGGGAGAGCAGTTCAACGAGCAAAAGGCACACCAGCTGCAGTGTTGTCTTCCGTAGCAGCAGTTACTGCTGCAGATGATGCAGTCTCTGCGGCATTTGTTTCAACATACGCTCCACTCAAAAAATCAAATTGAGATAGGAGGACGAACTTTGCGCATTGAGAAACAGTTAGCTGAAGGCAAGCTGTTACTGTCTCTGCTTCAGCTTTTTTCTCCAAGTTTGTTTCTGTGGCTTCTGCTGCTGCCGCTACAGCGTCCAGTGAACTAGCCCGCAGCTGTAGTTGCTGCAGCAGCTGTTGCAACCGCTGCCGCGCCTGTGGGAGCGCCTGAGACAAAGCTGCAGTGTCTCAGAGGCTGATTCAGCTTCCACTCTTTCTGACGCTTGTGAGAACTGCTTTGCTGCTCATTCTGCTGCAGGTGGCTACGCCTACGTCTCTTTGGCGCAGGACACTGTAACGGGCGAACTTTTCGCAGTGAAACGGCTACCGTTTGCAGATGAAGAGGGATTCGAGATGGCAGCAAAGGAGATGCATCTGCTTGTGAACAGACAAACACAATCATCCAGGGGAATCAGGGGAATTCCAAAGTCCCAGGGGCCCTTTGGGGGCCTTACGTGCTTCCCGATGGGCTCATAGACTGCCCGTGGCCTCCATGGGTCGCAGCAGCCCCCAGAGAGCCCCCCCATTGGGCCTCAGAGACCACATGGGGCTCTATAAGGAGCTCTCGAGGCCCGTAATGGGGCCTGCCGAAGACTCCAGGGGTGCTTGAGGGGCCCGTGGTGCAGGCGCTGGATACATTTGGTTGCACTAATAAGGGTTAGGCTTGAGAACATAATCCTTGGGGAGTTAAGATGCGCCGTTTGTGTCTCGTGTGTCGCTGCAGGAGTCCTTGCCGCATCATGAGAATTTAGTGAAGTATCACGGTAGCCTTGTGGGGCCCCCGAGGGGCCTATCTGGGGGCCCCGGTGAGGTGCTGCTGCTTCTGGAGTACTGCAGCGGGGGCACGCTCATTGATTTGCTGCAGCGGACACAAAGACCACGAGAAGGTCTGCATGAAGACGTCATCAGGCGCGTCCTCCTGCATGTTGCTAGGTGAGGGATTATACCATGGCAACGAGCGGGCTCGCTACCCACAGCTCTGACGCTGCCGGTGGATATAGCCCTATGCCGAGGAGGGGCTAGGAAGGCCCACCGTTTGAGATCAGGGGTAGAAACAGTAGGGTCTGTAGCTGCTATTCTGGAGATAATGTGTGCCGGTTTAATGTCTGCAACTACAGAGGCCTGGCTCACTTGCATACCCAAACCCCTCCCATTGTTCACTGCGACTTGAAGGCAGAGAATATCTTATGGGGTCCTCCCAGTCCGTCTTGGGGTGCTAAAAGCTCTTTAGAGGAGCCTAAGGGGCTCTTTACATTCTCTTTGGGAGGATTGTGGGCACGCGCCAAGGGCGACACACCCGACTTGCGCGAGGTGCCAGAGGGATTAGAGGGAGTGTTTAGAGTTTGCGACTTCGGGAGTTGCCTGCACGGCATCCTCGATCCCAGCATAGGAGGAAGGAAGGAGAAGCTACAGCTGGCTGAGCGAATCGAGAAACAATCGACGTTAGCTTACAGGTCTGCTATGGCTGCTTTTGCAAGGGGTTGCCTCGGTGAAACTGCTGTAGGTTCCGCTTGTGGTATGGTGGTTACGTGGTTACTGCAGCTGAGTGTTCTGCTGCTGCTGCTGCTGCACTTGCTTTGCAGCAGCACCAGCAGCTGTGACAGTGGCAGAGGTACTTCCATAGGTGCGCACTGTTGGAGCAGCTGCAAAATGCTGCTGCTTGTTCTTTTCATCACAGGGCCCCTGAGATGGTCGATCTGTATCTTGAGTACCCTATAGGACCCCCCGCAGATATCTGGGTAGGCCTAAAACTTTTTACCAAAACAGCGTGCTTGCAAGACCATGTAGCAGTACTACCGAATTACTGCAGCCTGCAGCCTGCAGCATGGCTGCCGTCGCAGTACCACAGCAGCGACAGCTCTGGAACAAATTCACTACCTGCCCCATGGGTTTTGCTTTCGGTGTTTCCCCTGGTGCTGACAGCCTTCCACGGTTTTTGTAGCTGCTTTCTTTGCTCTGCTGCAGATGCTTGGCTGTGTTCTGTTCATTTTATGTTTTTACCGGCACCCCTTCGAAGGCGCTTCTGCGCTTGCTATCAGCAATGGGGCCTATAGCATCCCTCCAGGCCACAAGTAACCATGAACTTTGATATCTAGAGCCTGAATGCCACACGATGGAATAGTATCACTAAAGAATAGAGGCTGAAGAGGTGCAGGTGAAGAGCCATAAGAGAGCAAAGCGGCGAGTTCTCAGCGTGGTGCTTTTGTTTGCGAATGCTTGTGCCCTTCCTGCTGTTGCTGCCATTCCTGCTGTTGGCATTGCTTCTCCAGGTACTCGGGTGAGCTGATGGCGCTGTTGCGGTGCTTGCTTTCTATCCGTCCTTGGGAGAGGCCCACAGCGCAGCAGCTTGCCGCTGCACTTGAAACCCCCGGGGGACTGGTTCAATTGCTGCAGGATCAGCAGCAGCAAAAACAGCAAAGGCCGAAGCACCAAGAGCAGCAGCAAAAGCAACATAAGCACCAGAAGAAGCAGCAGCAAAGGCAGCGTGATATCTTCCACGAAGAGTTGGTGAGTGCATCTCTTTTTGCAGTCATTGGTTTTGCGTTTCCACAGCTTTGCCGCTGATGTCGCTGCTGCGGCTGTTGTTTCTCAGGTGGGGAGAAGCAAGTCTAAAGGCGGAGCTGAAGCTGACACGGGAGATGAGTGCTTCGACCCCTGTAGTGCAGCACATGTGCCTCTTCCGCAGCAGCAGGAGCAGCAGCAGCAGCAGCAACAGCAGCACGCCACAGACCCTTGGGGACAACCACTTCTGCCTCAAGAGGAAGAACCGTGGGAGCAGCAGCAACAGCACGACCGGCACCACCTGAAGCATCAGCAGCGGCGCCGCCATTTGATAGATTGTGGCATTGGAGAGCATACAAATCAGAAGGCGCAGCAGCAGTCGCATAAACAGCAGGAGCAAGAGCTGCTGTTGCAGCAGGTTGACTTTCGGGGCATCGAAACGCTGTGTGCTCCCTGTGAACTCTCTCAGTGCGATGCAGCTGGAGGCGGTAGCAGCAGCAGTAGCAGCAGAACCAACAAAGCTGGTGCTCTCCCAAAGGGGTGCGAGAATAAGAGTCTCTCTTTGCTTGGCTGCGTTCCGTCCCCGAAATCCTTTGGCTTGCGTACTGCAGCACCTTCTGCTGTTGGTGCACCTGCTTCTATTGTAGCTTCTCCTCCTACTACACTGTTTGCTAGTGCGGTATCTGCTTCTGCTGCTGTCGCCTCTGGGCAAAGCCCCCCGGGAAGCAGTTCACGAAAGTCTTGCACTCCTGTCAACGGCGTGCCACGGCAGGAGCTGTTGCTGGAGCGCATGCTAGTGATGAGTCAGCAAGCCGTGCGGAAGCAGAACCAAGATGAACACTCGTTTCCAAGGTACAGGCAAGCCTCTAGCGGCAGCGCGACTGCGGCGTCCGGCCCCATGGAGCCGCCCTGGCGATCTCATATGTGCAGGACCGGTGCTTCTGTTGCTTCCGCTGGTGTTACAGAAAACAACAGCAGCAGCAGCGATAGAGCAGCAGCAGGTGATTCAGTGAGCAAGGTGAAGTTTCGGCTGTCTGGGTCAATGGATGTGTGTCTCTTGCGCTTGCGGGAGACAAAGCCACAGCCTTCTGGGTTAGGAGGAATGGATGAGAAAGAGACGGACACAAATGGCGTTCATCCAAATGCATCATCTTTTTAGTCATCATAAAAGCGGCAATAAAGGTTTGTACTGCCACTATTTTTTCTTACTGTTATGCGAAGATATGGAACGAGACAGGGTGTAAGGCATACCTGCTTGGAGACGTTTCGCCACAGTAATGTAAAGGAAGAACAGAGATCAGCAGAGACAGAATGTTACACAGATGGCTAGAGGCAGAACGCCGCATTGGGAGAAGTGAATAGAGACAAAGGAAGTGAAGGACGTGGGCCAATAAATGGTGACAAAGCAGCAGAGGCAAAGAAATAGACAGCGCTAGCTTGGTTATCGACACAAACAGCCACAAATAAATGCATGCGAAGTTGATAAAAGAAAGGGCGAACCGAAAAAAAGATAAGAAGGCAGAGTGGTGAAGAGGCAGGGAGATGTGGAAACCGAAACAAACATGCAGATAGCCAAGACGATGGAGCTTCGAAAGGAATACTGATGCGTAGGCACCACCGTCTAGTTTGTTCTTTTCCACTTAACACTGGCTCACCCAGGAGGCCGTTTATATATGTTTTCCATTTGAAGGAGATGCGTGCCCGGAGACGGTAGCGATAAGCGCCTTGTGGAGTCCATATCAGCCGATCACATAGAGCCCTTAAAAGGCTCGGACGCAAATTAAGGATCAAAGGAGCAGTACAACAACCACAGGCTTTAGTGAGCCCTGTGGTGCCAGCTTTTTACTGGTTTATTTTTCCGTTAGCTCTCTGAAGGCATTTTAAAGCTCTTTGGGCAACGAAGCGCTACATAACTGACAAGATACGAAATATTGTTGTATGTCTTTGAGGGTTTCGGACAAAACCCATACGAGTAGGGGGATGTTCGTGAGCAAGCCCGAGAAGAGACCATGAAGAGAGACGGAAAGAGGATGGCCCTGACGGGGAGCATTAGAAGCCCCTCAAGCAAGAAGCGGCAAGCACTCCAGCGAGGTCCCACGGCTACGAAGCCTGTCAAGTGTGACCATTTACCCGAATAGCAGTACAGGTAGGTTTTTGCTTGTTTGGCTTGGTATTTCAGCCGTGGAACTGAGCATGCCGAACCCATTGCCGTACGCTGAGGCAGCCGTGAAGTGAAACGGCATTCATTTACGTGGTGTAGAGTCCACAAAGAGCGCAGAGCGAGTTCTATAGCTGCGTATGTTGTATGGGACGTCATAGATAGTACGAGGTTTATTGCTAATAAACACAATTTTAAGTGGTGAGGCCAGTGACGCCAACAATGTGTCATAGCGAGCTGAGGCCTTCGCCCGACAATCATGCTATTGCAGTAAATGGAAATAAGCGGTTGAATGATTTTATCATGTTTATTGAACAGGTAATTTCAACGGAAAACGTGAGAGACGGGGGACAGACACAGAGACCCTCCATGCATGCGACTAACTAGAGCCTGTAGCATACATTTCTGCCTAGCTTCTGAATTATATAATCGATAAAAAATATCAAACCTACTTGATTCTCAGTTTTTTGAGCTTTTGTTGTCGAGATGCACATACAACCCCTACTGTCTAGCGCGCGCGAGCGCCAAGGGCCCCCTGGCCTGTTGTGTTTGTCTGCATCCACTTAGGCGCTGTGTTTCCTCGTCTTTTGAGGCAATTAAAAATTGTTGAAGCATTTTAATTTGTTTTTGTTTTTGAACTCAAAGCTTGCTGCTGTTCTGCCATATTTTTGCGCCGCGATATGCTCCAGCGCCAACGAACACCGGGGCCCTCTGGCCCGTCAAGCGGGTTTCCGATGCCCACTTTTGGTCCCCTTCTTTGTATCACTTGAGTAAATAAAACCGAAAAGAAACTTTCCAATTACTCTTAAGAGGTCAAAAAAGCCTGAAATCCAAGACGAAACCCCAGACCGTATCGGCGCGACGGCAGCAGCTCGCAAACTCGTGCCCCAGGGCCATCAACAGCATCAACAACCTTCTGTTTCAAGCTGGACTTACGCCTCCACACTCGGGGTTTCTTTTGACGATTAGAAGTATATTTACGCTGTAAATATTAAGGGGAGCCGAACAAGCGTAGGGGCCCCCTAAATTTCCCCATCTTTTCGTCGCTTTTTTGTCTCATTTGTGCCCGTAAACCCCGAGTAGTTAGTTATGGAGGGACGAACAAATAAAGTGATACAGACGAGCAGACACGAAAACAAACAGGCGACTGACCTGTTTGAAAGGAGACAGAGAGCCAAAGATAAGAAGACAACATGAGGCCCTTCCTTCCCTGCGCTGCAAACATCGAATAATCTCGAACCCGAAGGCGAACAGCATCAGAGGCAGCAACAGCGCAAACAGACGAGGGAGGAGGCGCGGCATAATGGTTTCCTCTCTGGGCCGTCTTTTGTCCCCTCTCCGTCTGTTTCCCCGTTTCATCCTTAGGAAAAGCCTGATGCCTTTATGGGGTATCTTCGACAGTTACGCGCTCTTGGTCGAGGGTTTGGGGTTAGAGTTTGTGGTACTCCTAATCAGCGTATTTGGGGGGCTCAAGGGCGCTCTCTGGTCTATTTCGATTGAGTCGCTGCTTCCCTACATGAGAGAAAAGGGGTTAGACGCCCTGGTTTATCAGCAAACCCTGACCCTCTCACTTTTACCTTGGGGAGCGAAGGGTCTCTTAGGGGCCCTCAGCGACAACGTGGCTCTATTTCGCAGGCGCAAGAAATGGTACATGCTTACTTCAAATGTTGTGGGGGTTGGCTGCTGCTGCTGGCTGTTGTTGGAGCCTAGCAGTGGCAGCGGCAGCAGAAGCAGCAGCAGTGGAGTCGGTTTGCTGGCGTTGTCCCTCCCATTTTTCGGTCTGCATTTGCAGATGGCAACGATTGACCTCCTGTGCGAAGGTTTATACTCCGCGGCACTCCGCGCGAACCCAAATTTGGGGTTTGCATTGGTAGGCTTTGTGAACTTGTGCACCACTACTGGGGGCCTTCTCGGTCGGCTGCTTGTGGGGCCCCTTAGTGACGCCTGGGGCTCGGGGCCTCTTTTTTGCCTCTGCCTGCCTTTGGCCCTGCAGTCTTTCTTTCCGGTGCTGCTTAATTTCACTGGGGAGCCAAAGCTTCAACTGACCCGCAGCAGCAGCAGCTGCAGCAATAGCTGCAGCTGCAGCAGAGGAGCATGCAGGGTTCGCAACGGATGCTGCAGCAACGTGGTACAGGTGGTGCCTCAGCCAGGACAGGGTGGGGTTGTTGTTGTTGCATTGTTGACCTCTCTTTGTGCCTGCGGAGCTGCTTCGCTCGTGCTGCTTGAGCTTGTCTCTTTATCGGTTGCGTACACCGTTTGTGTGTTGTGTGCGTTGGCGTGTGCTTCTCTGCTGCTCTTGCCACGGCGGCTGGCACTCTGTGCCCTCTATTTCTTTATCGACCGTCTGCTGCATCTAAACATACAGGGAGCCCTCAGCTACTTCTACACGGCTGCGCCTGCTTGCGTCCCTGAGGGACCCCACTTCAATTATACTTATTTTTCCACCTACACTGCAATAGCAGGCACAACAGCCAGCTGGATAGGCATTTGGGCCTTCCAAAAGTGGTTCAAGAATTGGAGCTGCAGGTAACTAGCAGAGCGTTGAGCATTTATGTCGATGATTTGCATGAACGAAGGGGCCATATGAGGCTGCAACAGGAGCTTACCGGGTATACAGTTTAAGGTTGCAAAAAAGCGTTTGACTTTACTGACACTAACAGTTCCCATTTTTCTGCTCATCCTTGCATATTTAGTTAAGAGCTCATTGCGTGGGAGTCGGGATATGCGCTTTCCGGTTTTTTCGTTTGTGTTATTCTTAGGTCTATTTTCTGGCTTACGAACAGCTTGCGAATCCTCGATTCGTTGTTTGACTTGGCTCTTGTGCTTCGCTTGAATAAAGCGATAGGACTGCCAGACAAGGTGATGTACCTGCTGGGGGACGGCATCGGGTTTGGCTTGATAGGGGCTCTCACCCACATGGGAGCCGTTGTGTCCGTGTCTCAGCTGTGCCCCGTGGGGCGGGAAGCTACTGTGTACGCAGTGGTTTCTGGGCTGAGCAACTTGGGCTTTAGTTTGAGCAAGCTGATGGGGGCATTTGCTATTTCTGCATTCAAAATCTCCACTGTACATACACCAGAAACCCAATGTGACTTCCAGTATCTACCGCATCTCATTCTACTGGCACATCTTTTGCTGCCACTCCTCGCGCTTCCTCTTGCCGCGCTTCTTTTGCCTTCATATCCGCTCAATGAGCCGCCACCGCCTGTCTCTCTGGCCCCAGTAGAAGCAGTGACGGAAGCAGAAGCAGATGCAGAAACAGATATTGAAGGTAAGGGGGAGAAGGGGGAATTGAGAGAGGAAAGATTGGGAAATAGAAGGACAAATAGGACGATGGAGCTCAGGAATGTTCAAGCTATGCCGGTAATGTCTTTTCATGCGGCTATCACAGCGGCAACAGCAGCAAAGGGAGCGGATGGGGAAACAGATGGGGAGACGGAGAAGGAATTAACAAGAAGGAACAGCAGAAAACATGCATACAGACAAATACCAACAGTGGGAGAGGAGACAGAAATGCTCCAAGTCCAAGCTGCTGGACAGCAGGAAAGCAACTTACTGTACACGCCAGGTAGCAGCAGCAGCAGCAACAGCACCAGCACTAGCAGCAGTGGAGGCAGCAGCAGCAGTCCCAGCACCAGCAGCACCAGCAGCGCCCCACGAGGATGATCGGCCTGAGATCCTATTGCAGAGCAGGCACGGACCTAGCAGCATCCATCACAGCAGCTGCACTAGTAACAGAGAAGAGCATGAGAAGCAGCAGCGAATACAGACATGCGAGCAACACAAACAGCAGAAGCCTGGCCATAGCAGAGGGAGCAGCAGCAGGCGTGTGGGTCTCCGTGTCGTTCGTTTTTGGCGGTGCTGATTTTCCCATGGAAAAAATAATGAAAGCTAGAACAATTACTGCTGTTCTTATTGAAACACTATATAAACGTATAGTTGACAGTGGTGTACTTACAGAGCAACAACAAAGAGGAGCCGGACCCCTCTCCGAACCCTCTAGT